TAGGAGTAGCAGGAGCAGTAGTAGCAATGCTACTACCACCACGCTGCTACTCCTGCTACAAACACTGCGACTGCCTGCGCCTGCCTGCGCCTGCATGTTCGATACTGCTCCGCAAACTAAAACTAAAACTACAATTCTAACAAACCCCTCTACGCAGCCCAAAACCAGAGAGGTTTAACATACCAAAAAAGTTTAAAGTTTACCTATTGGGCTCCTAAGAACCAGGGAGGCAAACCCTGAAACCTTCAACCGCCGATTTTTCTCGAAATCCTAAACCCTAAACCCTAACCCCAAACCCCTAAACCCTACATATACCCTAAACCCTAAACCCCTCAACCCTCAACCCTAAACCCTGAAAAAGCCAAGACCTGAGCCTCGGAACAAGCTCATGCCCGGCTCTGCATGAAACTGAAGCTCCTGCAAAGCTTCTTAGGGTTTTAGGGTTTATGGTTTAGGGGTTTAGGGGTTTAGGGTTTAGGGAGAAAGGTTATCTCCAACCGACAACATCATCCTACCCCCTGAGAGATGGAAAGACACAACAACCAACAAATCGGAGCATGTTCTAGCTGTATGTAAGCACATGCCCAAAATACACAGCATCTCAGCGTCTTCATCTTCAACTATGCGGTCTCTTTCAGCCCCGTCGTCCTTCGACTTCATGCGCTCGTTGACATTCGCGCCCTGCTGGAGTATCGCCTGGCCATGAAACTCTGCGAGGGCCCTATCGAGACGGTTTAGGGTTTAGGGTGGCCTCATTTTAGGGTTTAAGGGTTTAGGGTGATATCGATAAGCCTCGGAAACTCAGAGTAGAAACAGCATTTCGAACATGGGTTGAAGCGAAGGATGAACCCGAAGGAACATCCACATGCGGCGTGTCTTCGGCCGCTCTGATTGCGCTCGGCGCTTATTTCAGCTTTCTGACTACAGCTCGCACCGATAGCTTCCTGCCACTACTAGCAAAATTCGTTTGATGTCCACGGGTCTTGTTATCGTCAGGCTTAGACTTTGAACTTCAGAGCTTCCCAGGGGTGGGCGAGGGGATGTTGGCAGGCCTTTCCCACACTTCCAGTCGACCCTGGCCGACTTGTGCTCTTGTTTATGGGGGGTGGGAGAGTTTGGGGGCAGGCCTGCTGCACGTCTGCAGTTATCATAGGGCTACCGCAACTGGCCGGCTTCAATGGAGATTGCCCACCTCTTTTCTAGGCCGAGAAATGGCTAAAGGCAAATCCGTGCACACAAACCCCGCATTTGGAAGCCTTGCAGGATACTTGCGGATCTGTCTGAAGGAGCATACCGGCAAAACTCGAGTAAACGCGGCATGATTTCCAAGCAGAGACTCGGACAGCAAAAACATGCGGCGGCCCTGAACTATTTGCGACACACATTGGGTTTAGGGTTTAGGGGTTTAGGGTTTAGGGTTTACAGCAGCATGGGCCACGAGAATGCCAGGCAGAAAGCCACAAAAGACACGCCCAAGAAAACACGAGGAAGGGCGGGTTTCGAGGATGTCGGAATTCAAGGCTTATGCAGATGTTTGGCAATTAGGATCAAGTGTTTGGGAATGTGAGGTTTAGGGCTCGGGACCAGAACTTCAGGACAAGAAGGGCTTAGAGTTTAGGGTTTGCGGAATGGTATTGTGCAGGGCTTGAGGCAGAATGGTTTTCCAATTATGCACTCTTGGTTGACATTTTCATCGACATTTACCGGTTGCGCTGAAGTACCAGAAGTTCAGGGCAGACTCGCCAAATATCCATTGCTTAGCTCGTCAAGCTAGTAAGAGTTTAGAGTTTGGGGTCTAGGAGCGTATACATCCATAAACCCCAAACCCCTTAAATCCTGCGCCATAGACCCTTGAACCTAAACTCCAGAAGCCTTGAGCAGCGGCAAATCCCCGCGCAAAGCAGCGAAACCTGGTGCGCTGCTCTCATTAGGTGCGGGGTTTAGGGTTTCGGGTTCGGTTGGGCCTGTAGGGCTTATAAGGCTTTAGGGGTTGGGGGTTTAGGGGTTTAGGGGTTCTGGGTTAACTCGCCTTCTCTAAATCTAATGATTCTACTGCAGGGCTCGTTACAGCAAGGCTGGAATTTCCAGGCTTTCAATAATGTGAGGGTTTCATGGGCCTTACACCTATGCCCTAAACCCTCAATACAGGCTTGAGGGTGTGTGTTCCTCCTTGTATTTTTTTGCAAAACAAGTACATAGGAAACCGAAGCCGCCAAAGTAAACAGGAGCCCCAACACTGAGGACGTATACCTCAACTTCAAGCCCGCTTCCTCAGTCGCCGAAAGCCTAGTTGACGTACAGGCCACTCAAAAAGTAGTACCCTAAACCCTAAACCCTAAACCCCGGTTTAGGGTTTAGGGTTTCGGGTTTCTGAGACCCCATGACTTTTGATTCCACATCGGGGTTCGGAGCTAAGAGTCCTGGACCTGACTTCCGGATTGAAAGTGGCCCAGATATGGGGAATAGTAGTAGTAGTAGTCGTCGTCGTCGTAGTCGTCGTCGTCGTAGTAGTCGTGGTAGTAGTAGTAGTAGTAGTAGTAGGGAGGAGTAGTAGTATAGGATAGTATCCGAGCAATATAAATATGCTTCAACTGCAACTCCGAATTCACGCGAGCCTCAAATGAGGCGTCCTCGGCATTGCGAGATAAATCCATGTGCTCTACACACCTTATCGTGGTCAAGCCCAGCTAAAAGTCTGTTTAAAAGCAAATCCCTCAACAGCAGTGGAAACGCTTGCGGGGACAGGCCCCTTTTTGCAGCAGGCTTCTCTCGCCCGGAACTGCCGTCGCCCTGTCCCTAAACCCTATAAACCCTAAAACCCGAAACCCTAAAACCCGAAACCCTGAACCCTAAACCCTAAACCCTAAACTCTAAACCCCTAAACCCTAAACCCCAAACCCCTATTGGATACCCAGCCAAGCGGAAACATCGCAAACAAACTTGGCGGGGAGCCCTAGGGTTCTGGGAGCCTTAGGGTTCGAGGCTTTATGGCTTTTAGGGATTTAGGGTTAAGGGAGTTTCGGGTTTCGGGTTAAGGGAGTTTAGGGTTTAAGTTTCGGGTTTCGGGAAAAGTGACTTTAGGGTTTAAGTTTCGGGTTATTAGGGTTTAGGGAGTTTAGGGTTTAGGGAGTTTAGGGTTCGGGGCTCTCCAGGCCTAAAGCCCCGGAAGCTCCAAGGAAGCCAGAGGGCAAGCCGGAGTCCACCCGTGTTCGCGGTCGGAGACGTTTTTGAATCGGTTCTCCTGAGAGATTTAAGAGTCCCTCTCAGGGTTCCCGGGTGGGGGCTTGAGGGTTTAGGGGTTTAGGGGTTTGGGTTTAACTAGGGTTTATAAGGGGTTTGGGGTTTAAGGGTTTGGGGGGCTTAAGGGTTTCAGCACTCACTCTCGGACTCGCCTAGGCGAGGTTCCTGGTACGAGGTGAAAGCGCATTAGGGTTTTGGGGTTTGGGGGTTTGGGTAGGGGGTTTGGACTCTCGCAGCTCGGACACGTCTTTGGGGTTCAGGGTTTACGGGGTTAAGGGCCTGAGCCCCAAGACCTAAACCCCCCCAAAATGTCCGGTCTAAACGCCTGAGACCGCGCACAATATCGAGTATTCTGTAGTACATGCCATAGTAGACTACGATAGACTATGACATGCCATAGTCTACTATAGCATACGCCCGTAGTCTGGTGGTATACAATCACACAGTCACCACAGGATTTTTTCAATCTGTACAGTTACACTAGGCTCGGGTTTGTTGGATTTGTCACAGTGTGAGTTGTCGGCACCGCAAGTTTTAAAGGTCCTGCAGTGTTTTTGGTTGTTCTTGGGGGGCGGAACCCTGCATTGCGGAATCTGTCTGAACCCTCAAAGCTATCCGTCATATGACTTTACGGAGTGTATTCCTCAATCTGGGTTTCTTAGTCCCCTGGACCCCGTCCTCCAGGAAGCTTGCCACCAATTCCTCTGCCTCCTCGCAACAAAGAGCCATTGTGCAGTGCTCAAAGATGTGCACGATTTTGACGAGGTTTCACTCACGCTCCCGCCTCTGCCGCATTACGAAGCACTCACTACGTCACCCGAGTCTTCTTCTGGAAGAGGGTCGCTCCCAATTGCAGGAGGGCCGAGAGAGACACGAGAAACATCTGACAGTTCGGCGATTGGGGGAGTTTAAGGGTTCAAGAAACATCTGACCCCAAACCCTAAACCCTCTTCCCTCAAACCCTAAATCGGCGCTAGTTTAGGGCTACGGGTGGAGGGTTGAGGAATCTGGAGCCTTGGCTTCGGCTTGTGGGTTGACGTAGCCCACTAAAGACCAAGATCTTTGCCTCTGTAGAAGCCACAGGCCTCAAAGAAAGAAGCAGAGTGTAGGGGCCTTAATAATTAGAATAGGGTCTTGGGGCCCAATATACTACAAATCTAATAAGGAACCCTTAAAATAATGTAGGTAATGATTAAGGCCCCTACATTTTGAACCGAATGGACCGCCAGTCTTGTTCTGCGGCGGCCAAACCCCTGCCTCGATGTTTAGCAATGCAGCCCGCCTAGCCTTCCCCCTGAAGCTCCTCTACCTAACTCCCTAGTTTAGCGTGTAGGGGTTTAGGGGTTTAGGGGTTTAGGGTTTAGGGATTACCCGTAAATCCTAAACGCTATCTCAATCCTGACACACCCTACATCCTGAGAAGTCTAAGCCCTGTTCCATGACGTTGTCGTGATACGTGACATGGACCACCCCTTGCAACCTAAACCCTAAACCCTAAACCCTAAGCCTATGTCATGGCCTTTGTGGTCGGCCCTTGGGCTCCCTTATGGCCTGAATGGGGAGCCATGCAAAAACGGCCAACATGAGTGGAGAAGAGGCGCAAGCCCTAAACCCCTTTTTGAACCCAGACTCTGTCTAAAGCCCTCAGCCCTAAACCCCTCAACCCTAAACCCCTCAACCCTAAACCCCTCACCCCTAAACCCTGAACCCTAAGGCGAACGATCCTTGTCTGAGCTCGGGCTTGGGCTGCACTTCCGACACTCGCCGATCCTGCGGCTCTTGAACTGGGTTTTTGTCTGTAGGGATGGAAACCCTGCGGCTCCAAATGCCCCAAAGTGGGTTTCAGCACTCACTCGCCCCAAAGTGGGTTTAGGGTTTAGCGAGCCAGCGGGAAGGGATGTAGAGGTTTAAGAAGCTTAGACTGGAGACCTCACTGGGCTTTCGGAAGCTCATTGGTGAAGTCTGGGTTCAAGGTGCTCTACAAGGCGTTTGGGAGACTTTGTGCATCGTGTCAAGTCGGGCTTCTGCACGTTTGGGCAGGCATCCCTTGCAGTATGTGGGGATTCCCTAAACCCTAAACCGAATATAGACCCCATGTAAGATGAGGCCTGATGGGAAGCCCGGTTCTTCTGATTCAGGGGTCCATATGACACGGTTGCTTCAACGTGGACCCGTAGACCCGTGCCTCCGTTTCTCGGCACGCGGACGATCACGAGACTCCGACAGGACTTCCGGTTTTGGAGCACCGGGACGAACATTTGCTAGTCCCATTCTGGCCACTTAACTTATAAGCTACCGCAATAAGGTAAGCAGACTACGGCAGGACATCGGCAACCAAATCATATAGAAGTTTGGGTAGGTGTGGACAAGGGTCCTTAAACGGCCCTAAACCCTAACCGATATGGGGGGAAGGGGCGGGGGCGGGGTGCTACGCTATTAGAGAACATAAAGGTATAGTACTGCAATGATTCACGCCGCTCGGCGGAAGACCCCACCAGTTCGGGATATAGATTCTGCGCTACAGTCTTCGTAGAAGAAGCTACAGCTCCAGCGAACCTGCAACAAAAAACCCGAAAGCCTAAAAACAGCAGAACTCGGAACTGAACCCGAAGCCTCATAAGGGGTTGCAAGCTCACAAAACGCCCTACTTGGGCCATCCCACGGGCATCTTGCCGGGAGGGGTTCCTTCATGAACTTGCTAGGGTTTGGGAGTCAGTGTTTCCTTGGACCCTGAAGAACCTACCTGTTTAGAGCTCCTTAAATATGATTTCCTTATGTAAGTCCTTAAGGCGGTAGGCTCTTTGGGGTTAAGGTCGGGTTTAGAATTCATTGCCGCGTGGGAAATGTGCAGGCCCCGCCTCATTTGAAGATGGACGTGCTGCATGTTGAGCAGGAGTCGATATCCGTGGATGTCCTCCCGGTTTCGACACACACACACACACACTCGCACGAAGCTGGCATGGCAAGAGAAGGTCCCGAGCTTGGTTTAGGGTTTAGGCTTGAACAACCCAGATGTCGACGGACTCACGCACTCGGCCGACGACAATCCTCACCCTCACAGGTCCTGACCAACCTTCAGCTATCCCGAAGTACTCGTGCCGACACCGCCTTCCCTGGTATTCATCGCAATTAATGTGGTCCGGTTTTGTCAAACCTGGGGCCTTAAACCATAACGAAAGCTCAAAGGAGCCCCCGTGAAGCCTCAATATAGTTAACCCTCTGAGCTCCTAAACCCTGAACCCATATGTACTACGCCTACCCCCTAAACCGTGTAATCGCCCCCCCCCCCCCTTTATTAAACACCCCCGTTTAACAGCACATTGGGGCGAATCCTCCCGAAATCATCCCTGCCCTTGTAAACCTGTTCTGAATTAGGGGAGGGCTTCGAGCCTCAGGACCAACAGCAAAAGCAAGAGCAGGATTTAAAGCGGGAGCATCACCAAGAGCAAATCAAAAACAAGCGTGGGACTAAGAGCAAGAGCAGGAGCAAAAGCGGGAGCAATAGCAAGAGAAAGAGCAGGCGCAAGAGACGCAGCAGAAGCAGGAGCAAAAGCCAGCGCGGGAGCAAGAGCCAGAGCACGACCCCCCAAAAGTGGCAGCAGAGATAAACATCCCCCCTGAAAAATAAACATACTTTCCGAGTTGTTTTGGGGCCCCCTTTAACATGAACGGGAAACGATTAAGCCTAAACTTGACCCTAGACCTCCCAAAACCCTGAAACCTTAGTAACTTAACTTTCTAAAAACCCCTTAACTCGACCCTCGCCCCCGACCTCCTGAAACCGTATACGCCACGCCCCCTGCAGGCAGCTCGTGTCCTTGCGCCTCAGCAGCGAGTCGAGCTTCCTCTGGACCATGCTGCGCCTCAGGGAGCTGCTTGTTATGAAGGAAACTACAGGTGGGGAGCTTGGGGTATATAGGGCTTCTATAAGGCTTCCATAAGGGACATAGACCTTCTATAAGGCTCCTATAACGGTAACTACCCACCTGAAACTGTCCTAGACCTGGGATTTACTTCTCAAAGGCCACTGTAAGAGCTAGTGCGGGGGTTTCAAAATGGGGCTGCTGTAAGGGCTCCTTAAGCGAAGTCCTGAATGTAGGGGCCTTCATAACGAGAATTGGGTTCCTCTTATAAGGCTTCTGTGATGGGCTACCATCAGGGTTCTAATACTGTAAGGATATGTAAGGGCCTTTAATAAGCAGAGTACGAACGATAGGCGTAATGAATAGAATAGGGCGAACTAGGTTCCTTTATGGACTCCTTCAAGGGATCTAGAAGGGTTAGTACCAAGGCGTTCAGGCCCTACATTGTTGAGGCTTAGGTTGTAGTAGTGCAGAAGCTCAGTGCGTCAAAGCAGACAAGCCGCAGAAGCTCAACGACACGTTCGCGGTCACTGGCCACTGTAAACCTTGCGAGTTTGGGGTTCGGCCATGCCAACACTACCCATAGGCCCCATAGTAGTTCCTTTTGGGGATTCACTAATAGGATGCTAAATATAAGCCACAAAAAGGAACTACTATGGGGGCCTATGGTATCCTCTATAAACCCCGAAGCGCTTTTGTTTTGCATCAGACTTGTGCAGTTGTCTGAAACCCTCAGCTGCGGATGGGCCCGGGTTGGGGTTTTGGGCGTAGGGTTCGGAATCCGTGCTGGTAGGCCGAAGCAGTCGTTTGATAAGTAGAATGAGGTGTGCATCAATTGAATATATCTGCATGTGTATATATATATATATGTGTGTACATATATATATATATATATATACAGATATAAATCAGTATGTATATATAGATATATGCATCACATAATATTCTATATGCATATGCATGTATGTATAAATGAGCGCAGATTACAAGCGGAATAAGCATACCACAAGGGCTACATCGAAATGCTGCTCTACCGTTACGCCACTTGCACAGACCCGTTTCTTCCCCCGTCAATAGTTTCAGACTCTAACTCTCAAACTCTAAATTCTAATGCTCTATTTGGGGCCTAAAGAGTTTCGGTTCCTCATCCCCGTCATGATAAGGCTCAAGTTCCGACTAATCATCATAATAGGAGCCTTGATAACTACAATAGGGGTTTTGGGGCAGATTCTAGGGCATTTTCAGGAACTCTAAACCGATTGTTCAGGGATCAGAGTTCAAGCGCACAGTTGGGCAACACCGCATGAACTAAAACTCAATGGGCCGCCTCCGGGAACTTTGCGCATGAAGAAGCAGGACTAAACGCAACATACCCCAAACCCTTACTTTAAGCTACCAAAACTTTTTTGTAGGGCCCCTATCAGGGTTTATAATCAGAACCTACGAAACGAGTAGGTTCTGGTAGCTTTAAGTAATCCTGAACCCTCCATATGCACTTGATCAAGTTCGCGAAACATGCAACCCACGCCTTTCCCAAACTCAAGTACAGACTCCGACACTCACACTTTCAAAACCAACCAAAACCTCCCCAACAGACGATAATTCAAGTATTAAGGCTTCCAAATAACTTTCCCAAAGCTTCCTAAACCCTGAATGTTGCAAGTGTATATATATACTATATATACTATATATACATATATACATATACTAAAAATACATATCCCATCCCTAAGCCCAAAGCCTTCGTAAAATCTTGAACCCCATGCCCCACATCCCTAAGCCCTGGACACGGCAAATCTTAAGCCAAAGTCTGACTCCTCAGCCCTGCACCCAAAGCTTCAGTTCCTACATAACCCCATCCAGCCC